TCACATGTTCCTACCTCTCTCCATTTTGACTTGTTCCTCTCTTCTTTTTAACTATCTCCTGTCTTTAAAGACACTTCTCTACCTCCCCATGTCAAAATTCATAGCTGGTGGGAAGAGAGAAAAAGGGTATGGAGCTGGACCTCATTAGACAAAAAAAAAAAAAAAAAAAAAAAACAGTATCAGAAATGACTGAGGAATGTATTTTTCAACTGTTTTTTTCTCAAGATACTCATTCAGATCCCCGTATCATGGGGGAAGAAGCAAGGTGAGCTGCCTCAGGGAATGGGGTGAAAGAATTATTTGAGCCATAATTCCAATGTCCTGTGGGGGTTCTTACAGTTTTTCTCTGAGAAGGAAGTTATTAAGGGCTGACTCTGACAGACTGAGTTGTTATTGTCTGTACACAAGGCTCAGGAGAACAAACCACTTTATTAAAATAGAAATCTGTCATCAACGTAAGAAACTACCAGCTCTTTTGAGTACTCTCCACCATGTTTTCTGGGAATATGCACAGGACAGAACTCAATCACCTTTCATGCTGATTAACCTTGTATGCTGATTGCCTAGAACTTTCATACATTTTTGACAAGATTTGTCTCACCTAATCCTAGCTACATGAAGCAAAGACAATCATCCCAGAGTTGTTAACACCGGGTTCTCTTTTTGTTTAGACAAGAGGCACCTTTCAGACATGATTAATCTAAGCTATAACTGCTTTTTTAAGATATTTGTTTCCCAATACTGACTGCAAAAAGGACCCTCATGAAATGAATTTTTAAAAAGGAATAAATACACGGCAATCTAACTTTTCCTACATGTTGTATAGAATTTGGCCTTAGATACAGTGCTTTGAACAAAGCCTCAAAGCTCTGTGCTCCAAGTCCAAATACAGCAACTCCTCCCTAAATCAAGCTCTGGCTACAAAGAACAGGAACAACTCCAGAAACACCACTAGGTCACCATGAGGGAACATCACACAGGAGTTACCACCTCTCTCCTTTCTGCTTGCAGGTCTGTCTGGAATCACTCATTATGAATACTTCAACTACATCAATCTTCCTTCCAACTGCCACCAGCCAGGCTCATGGGACTAATCAGAGCGGTGCTGTGGGAAAGGCAGAGCCATCGTATGCTGTCCTCAAGTTCATGGAGAGCTTCTGCCTCATCAGTGCTGCCTGTGGGATGGTGGGAAATGGCATGGTCATATGGTACCTTGGCTTCCGCATCCGGAGAAACCATTTCACTGTCTACATCCTGAACCTGGCCGCTGCTGACTTTGGCTATCTCCTCTGCATCGCCATTGAGACGGTTCAGTACCTGATGCAGTTCAATGTTGGGGTGCAGTTTGGGATATTTCTCTTCCTGGATCTTTTCATGTATGGGACCGGCTTGTATCTCCTGACTGCCATCAGCATTGAGAGGTGCCTGTCTGTCCTTTGTCCAATCTGGTGCCGAACCCACCGCCCAAAGCTCTTGTCCGGCATCATCTCCGGCCTGCTCTGGGGTCTCTCCCTGCTGCTGAACACGCTCGGGTACATTTTGTGTACCATTCGCCCCTCTCCCAGGAGCTGCCATCTCCTGCTCATCGCCATCGGATCCTTGGACTTCCTCTTCTGCACGCCCCTCATGCTGATCTTCAGCCTGACTCTCTTCCTTAGAGTCAAGTGCAGCACCCAACACGTCCGAACAGGCAGGCTCTTCACCATCATCATGCTCACCGTCCTTTTCTTCCTCATTTTCGCCGTGCCTCTCAGCGTCCTCATCCTCTTTGACTTCCTGGGCTACAAATTTCTCTACTCCCCGGAGATTGGCTTTGTGCTGTCCTGCGTGAATAGCAGTCTCAACCCCATCATTTACTTCCTTGTGGGGAGCTACAGGGATCGGAGAATCAAGTTCACCCTCAGGCTGGCATTCCAGAGAGCCTTTGAAGATTCAGCAGATGACAAAGATGAACGGGAAACCCGTGATACAATAACTATGTCCTCCTAATACCCCGCTGTACCTAACACAGTAACACTGGTCTGGAGCTGAGGGCCCATAGTTTACAGAATTTAAAAACTCTGAGGTATTGGGGAAGGTTTATCTCACCTAACCTTCAGTATCTTCATTGTATATCTCTATGCTTTAGCTAGTTATTTTAAGCTCCATCTGTGGTCGGTGAAAACACATAAACACCTGGACCACAGAATTTATCTGACTCGTTATTAGGACCACACTGAAAGTGCTTATTTCTTTTCAGTGGCCTTAAATGATCTTATTTGATAAGGTGAAATGTCTTGGTGTCTGCATTTCATCAAAGGGATCCCACACAGAATTCTCAGCTCAGTCCATAAATCTCTGTCTTTCAGAGCACAACAACATCAAGTTCATAAATTCTCGGTCATTTTTTACTCAGATCTCTGAAGATGAGATGGGATCCAATCCTCCTCCTGTTGAAATCAGCCATGAAATTCCTGGAAGGATAGTCTATCTATCTCACTTAATTTTAAATACCTGTATCTCAGCAACACATGCAACCTTTTGCGGCTCACAGAGTGCACCATTCTTTGCTCCCTAATGTGAGGATTGCAAATAGTGAAATGATTCATGCCCTAGAAATTCCTTTCTTCTATTAACTAGGGAGGTTTCCAAACCATAAAGTTGTGTTGCAGTAGAAAAGGGCCCCAACCCCTCCCAACTTGCATTACAACTTTATGCACTGAGTTGCATGCTCCCTTTTCTTGTATTTCAAAGAAATACGGGGCTGGAGCTGCATGTTCTTCTACCTACCTCCAGCCCAGGACAGAGTATCTGCATCTAGCTACAGCATGCATTGGATTGCTATTTCTTCCTTTAAGAAGAACCCACAGCTTCTAACATCTCCTCTACCAATAGAAATAAATACAAGGATAAGAAAAAAAAGAACAGGAAACAGAAGAAAGGTAAAGAAATACCACAAATTGCAACAAATCATTCTCTAGACCCAATCCCTTGAGACCCAAGATGTGATTATTTGAAGTGTTGTACTATCAGACTACATAACATTTGCTCTTTTAACCTAAAATGATAGAAAAGGGCAACACAGGTAATTTTCTTTGAGGAAACCTTACAGATTTCCTCTTCATGCTTTCATCTGCAAATATTTTCCTAAAGGGAAGCTGCAGTCTTCTACTGCCTATTATTTTTTTTCCTGTTCATTTGTCTTTTTATTGATTTTGAAAAACACCACTTAAAAAAATAGTGGTTCACCCTAATGTCTGTAGTTGCTTTTTGCTTCCTGTTTACAGATCCTGAAAGCTGAAATTTGACTTCCATTTCTACTTTTAATTTTTAATGCTATCGTTCTGCAATGTACATAGATTAGGTCTATGTCATAAATTATTTTTATTAATTTTTTTTTCTTCTAACTTCTACTGCTTAGGGGAAAAGAGCATCCATTTATCACAGAGCATGTTATAAATGTTTTCCTTTTAATATCTGTAAAGATTTTATCATTGAGAGAACCAAAACATTTCTGTTATTATTAAAAATGTCAAAAGCCTTTTTTTTAAAGTAAAAAAAATTGTATTTAAAAACATCATTGTGTTCAAAAGAAGCCATCAACTGATAGAAAGGTATAGAATATAAACTGTGAAAAACTTTCCATCCTGACAGTTTGTCCTTAAACATACCCGTCATGAAGACCAGTGGTGTTCAATGCGAACACATTTTACACATCACATTAATGTGAACACTTTACATCCAGCCTTTGACATTTCAAAGGAAAAGTGGTGCCCGCATATAAACCACCACCGCAGACACCTTCGATCATCCATGGTAAAACACAGGCATTCTCAGTGGTGGCATCTGCCAGATCTTTGCAGTGTATGGTCCAGAAGAAGTCAGTGATAGGATTTGCAGGCAAATGGGGACTATTTGCAGGATTTACCACCCTGAACTTAACACCAAGATAGTCAGCCCAGCCTGACAGGGAGAATGGCCTCAGCATCTGAATCAAGTTTGTCCTCTGAGTTGCTCGGTATCTCTCTGGAAGGATCCCAGGGCATCCAGAAGATCAGTGGTCATGCATGAGAAGGCTACATTCCTCAGGGGCTGCCAGCACCCTGAAAAAAAATCCCACATTTCTGCTTCCCTGGGGACAGCTGAAAGGAGAAGGGCAGCCTAGAGGAAGGGATTTGTTTGGGCATGTGCACATTTTAGAACAGTCCATTTTTCACCACATGCAGGAGAGTGAAAGACTCTCCAGTGCCTTGATTTGGCTCCTTTTCCCAAGCCTCTGAACCCCAGTAGTTATCCCCACCCTCCCCTTCAAGCAGCTACCCCATTCTCCATTCCGAGTTTCTACGACAACCAGCCCACTTCTCTCCCTCACCCCAGCATACCTCACACACACCTCAAAGGAGAAGCCTTCCCCATTCAGCACTCCCCAGCATCAGCTGCCAAATTCCTTCTCTTGCACCTTTCATGGAGATTCAGCTTCAGGGAGGGGCAGGAGCTAGTAAGAGAAGGTACATCCTCTTTGGAAGAGGAGAGACAAGGTCAGCTAACCGGGAGCAGAAGGGGGGCAAGCACCCCTAGACAGCTATCCTCTTTTCCAGTATTTACGTGTCGCACCAGCTCATAGCCAAGTGGTGTCTTACAACCCAAAAAGCAACTTGGGATCAGGCACAAAGAGCAGAGGAGGTCCAACAGTGCAAACAGGCTCTGGCAGGTCTTGCTGGTGAGCCCAGAGATACGTTACAGAAACAGGTTGTATTCTTTAAAAGTTTAACCATCAAAAACATAGTCACCCATTCCTACCCATGCCAGGAAAAGACAACACGTCAAAGCAAGTGTCCATAGGCAAGAAGCTGTAATTAAGGGACTGAGTCCAACCCTAAGCTCTGTTTAATTTGAACTAAGAGCGGTGACAGAGAAATAGAATACCATTCCTCTGAGAACTTCCCACAGTCTCTACTAAGCACTCATCCCTAGCATAACAGCATTTGGCCACAGGACAAATGCACAACGAGCCTTTCACAGATGCGAGCAATATCCCAGAGCATTGCCGACAATGGAATCCCTGGCAGGTAATTTTCTCCCCACCTACTGTAGGAGCAACTGGAGAAGTGGCGCAGAAACGTGAAAATGCCTCACAACACTTTGTTATATCAAACTAACTAAACTTAGCAAACTTCAGGTTAAGTCCATTGTGAGAACAGTTCCTCTGAGTTCAACCTGACGACAGTGAGGTGGCTCCTCCACAGACTCTCTGCAGGAGCTGTCTCGTACCTTCAGTCCTTGTTTTACTCTTCAGATGCCCTCCATAGCACAACAAAACCCTCGACCCTCTGGGGTTATTCCTTATAGAGTAGTAGATTAAAAAAATACTGCTGCTGTTTGCAGAAAGAAAACCTCCAGATACCACATGTGGTGACCAGCTAAAGATTGGATGGGTTTGATGTTGAGGACAACATCAGGCAGGAAGGTAGTGGTAAGAATGTAGATCCCTCGTAGCTGATATCGCTCTGTGTATATTTTAGATGCTAATGAGGAGGGGAAGATGGAGAAGAATCAGGAGCAACAATAAACAAATGAGGAAAACTGATATGAAGATGGACTTACATGTATCTTCATTGTTAAAACACGACATTACCCCATACAACATCAGACAACAGGCTCTTGGGTCGGTGCTCTCCACACTGGACCAAAGAGAGGAATTATTGACGCCAAAATGCCAAGTCCCCTCAGGGCTGATGGGCGACTGCTGCTGCACGTAGCTTGGTAGCACTGTTGATCTCACAGTTTTGAAACAAAAGGAGAAGCAGCCAGTTGCACTAACCAGCAAGAGGAAGCAGGTGCACAGAGGTGCAAACCAGCACCCACCGGGGGGGCGCGAGGCTGGAAACCTCATCCTTTAAAAGATAACAAAGAAAAGAGGCACAGGAGAATGGAAATCAGACCGAACAGAAAAATGGTGATGGTACCTAACAGCAGGGACAAAGCCCAAACAGGTTCTTGGCCATGAACAGAGAGGGAACGTACGGGGATCCGGCTGATCTCAGGTACAGGCAAGGGGGAGAAGGGTAGGAATGGAGAAGTGAAAGAATTAACAGCAATATATCAATTACAATGTGTGAAAACTATCTCAAGAAACCAGCTGCCCTCCCTTCCAGACCAGTAGCTCAGAAGTTCCTCAGATTCAGTGTCTTGTCTCCTCTGGTCCCTCCTGACTGAGCTTCCAGGCGAACGCAGGCGGCGCTGGAAATGGCGGACCCGGTGTGTGTCCCACCAGAGAGGAACCAGAGCGGGGAACCCCCAAACTCTGCTGAACACCAAAAATGATGCCTCCATGTGTGTGTGCGGGGTGTCTGTGGCAAGCTGCGGGCAGCAGGAGCTGCAGGGTCCTCTGTGAGGGGAGCTGAGGCGCAGCACGGCCGGTTCCAACCGGTTCCAAACGGTTCCCGCCGATTCCAGTCAGCGCCAGGGCGGCAGCAGCTGAGCCCTTCAGTGGAGCCGCTGTGGAAATAGATTTGAGAACAGGCAGAAAACACTACAGAGGGAGGGAAAAAGAGGGAGAAACGGGAGAGAAAAGCGAGGCAGGGAAGGGGAAGAGGGCGCGGGCGCCATTTTGTAGCCGTCGGAGGTCCCTGCACCAGAGCAGACGGGTGTTAACTGACAGGAGCTGCTGCCTGAGGAGGGCCTGCGCTGCAGCGGGGAAAAAGTTTTTAAAAGAACTGAGGACTTCTGTCATGTTCTGAAGGTTTGCCATAATGCATCAGTCCCTGTGCCTCAAGCCCATCGCTGTCAGAGGAAAGGAGTAATTACAAAGCTTTCCTCGCTGGTGTTTCTCTCCCCATTTCTCCCCTTTCTCTCCCATCCTTTAAGAGGTAAAAGGAAATCGGAATTTCCCTACCTCCAGGTCTGTACTTTTCTGGTAATGTCTGTCCCTACCCAAGTCGCAGACACATCCCTGTGTGTGTGGGAAAAACAAGGGATGAGACCACGACCAAGGGAGCTTCTGGTGAAAGGTGCAGAAATGGAATGGGTGCGAACGAAATCTGTAAAAACAATAAGATAAGGTGGTTTTAGTGTTAAAAAAATAGTACTAATAATAAAATCCTTACTGGGCCTGAACCAGGTACTGTAGGGAGTCTGATGTGTGGTTAAAGCAACTTTACTCCACCACCTCGGTGGCTTTTCACCAGGGATTTTCCCCACAATTTCCATGTGAATGTTTTCTGACTTACAACCAGTCACTTGGAAGTCTAATATGTCCTGGGTGCTGCTGTGTGAAGTGGGTGGTAGAAGACTTCCTCTAGCTCTCTTCTGTTCCTTTGCTGTCCTTGCAGCCTGCATTGCCAAGGGGGTGGTGGGGAAGAGATTTGGCAGGGCAAGAAGAAGGCAGAAACATGAGAATGAGTTAAGAGAGCCAGGGACCATCAACAGGGATGAACCAACAGAAACCACTCGGAAGTTCCTGACAGTCCCATGGCCTTAATGTTCCTTCTTCTTCCCATCACTCCACAGGTGCAGAACGTCTCCTGGTCTTGCCCATCCCTTCTTCTGCCCCTCTAGTCCTCATCATACATCACTCCGTGCACCTGGGATGCCGACGGAGTTCCCTCAACAGCAGCCAAAGAGGCAGGGCGCTGGCCTTGTCTCAGCTTGCCATGAGTGTTCAGTGTTCAGGCACAGAGCAGCACGAGGGCTTTGCCCGCTGCCTCTAGTCACATCCCTGACACGCACGTGTTTCCTCTGAGATTACATTTTGTGGGGTACAGAGCACTGCAGATGGGCTTTTATCTACAAGTGGTTCCTGTCACACAATCTCATCCTTTAGCATCACAGGGACTGGCATTTTCATTGCTTATTTTCTTTCCCTCTTTCATGTGTTTTCCATCTTTTGAATACCTCATCTTGGGAGTGAGGTTTGTCATTCCCAAGACCAATGTCCTCCAAGGATGTCCTTTGATTTCCTGTGGTGAACGCACAGTAATGAACAAGGACAATATGCCCATCACACACCTCCCACCTCGTACCTGAACCATCCAGCCAGCATCTTCCCTTATTGGCACGGTGCTCCTCTCTCCTTCACCTCCAAGCAGATCTTGCTTGCCCTTGGCTCTGCAGGGGTTGTCTCCTATGGTTTTGGAGCTGTTGCTAAATTACTTGCAGTATGTTCCAGGTTCTGCCACGCGTTATGGTGAAGCCTCTGTATGGGGTCAAAGTGCCACCAGTGAGAGCAGGGAGGAGTCTTGGACCACCAGGGACACACAGAGAAAGCCAGAAGCCCCTCTCATAGTGGGACAAAGCTGGAGGACAGTAGGAGGACAAGAAGGGGGTGATGTCACCAACTCCTACTGACAAGATCGCTGTCCACGGGACATGTGAGGGGAAGCTGTCACCAATGTGATGAGATTATGAGGGGAGTCTTCTGACCACAGGACATGATCTCTCTTAGGTGCAAGAGAGGAAGCCGAAGCAGAGCAGGGCGTCCCTGACAGCCATCACCAGACCCTTTCTCCCAGCAAGCCTGGCCCTGAGGAGGCCCCGTGTGCTGAGGGTCCTGCAGCAGCACCGTTCTCAGCAGCACCAGGAGGTAGGAGGCTGGGGCTGGGCAGGTGGGAGATGCCTCCTGGCCGGGGACAGGGATGGAGGGGTGGGAGCCTCTCCTGGGCACGAAAGGGGACAGGGTCCTTCCTGGCATAGCCTTGATCTGGTGTGGGGGCGTGGGGAGAGATGGCGAGTGCTGGGAATGCCGGTGCCCCTCATTGCCTTCTCCTTCCTCATCTCTCCTAGGAGGTGGTGGGAGAGGGAGAAGGTGGTCACCCAGAGCAGGGTCATTCGCTATGGAGGAGACCAACACAACTGACCTCTCTCTGAGCTACGTGACTTCTGGATATGCAGTCTCTCAGGCAGCTAACGAATGTCAATACATGCCAGAAGATTATAGTACGTTGGCAATTTCAGCTGTCTCTATTGGTATTTGCCTGTGTGGACTTGTGGGGAATGTCGTTGTCATGTGGTTCCTGGGCTTCAACATGAAGAAGAGCTCCTTCACTGTCTATGTCCTGAACCTGGCCATCGCTGACTTCTCTCTGCTCCTGTTCCTTTTTGTTAATCGTTCGTTATACATTATTTTCGCAGTCTATTGTATTTTCTCATATGAATATCTATTGACCAATTCTGTCCTGGCATATCTGTTTCTGTTTTCGTATTTTGCCAGCATGTATCTCCTGACAGCAATGAGCATGGAGAGGTGCCTGTCTGTTTTGTTCCCAATCTGGTACCGGTGCCGCCGCCCAAAGCGCTTGTCAGGCATCATGTGTGGGCTGCTCTGGGCTCTCGCAGGACTTTTTGTTTCTTTGCTTTTAACTAGCTGTTATTTTGGTCCACTCTGTGTACAACTACTTCGAGGTATAAGCACTGTGAATTTTCTCATTTTCTTTTTATTCCCTTTCCTTTCCAACCTTTCCCTGTTCATCAGACTCCGCTGTAGCTCACAGAGACGGCACCCTGGGAAACTCTATGTTGCTATCCTGCTCAGTGTGATCTTCCTGTTAATCTTTGGGTTTCCCCTCACCCTAAATTTTTTTCTTGGTCATATTGGCATACATGTATTTATACTTCAAAATTCTTATGTGCTGGCATCGCTGAACAGCAGCATCAACCCGTTCATTTATTTCCTGGTGGGGAGCTGCCGGAAGCGCCGATTCCAGGGCTCTGCAAAAGTTGCCCTTCGCAGAGTGTTCGAAGAGAAAACGACAAGCGAGGAGGGAAGCCACATGCCTGGGGACAATGTGGTGGAGGCCACTCTGTAAGGCACTGCTGGTGAGGACGCCTGGAGACGTGACACCTGCAGACAACCTGGGGGATGGAGGCATGAGGGCATGGAGCACAGTCCCAGTGCAGCGCTGCTCGGCCCAGGCTGTATTCCCCATGAGCCTCATTGCTCAGCCCCAGTGAATAAACTCTGTCTCGTTTGGCTCAGCAATGAGCTTTGTGGTGTTTGGGGGGATGTCTCACCTGGGGAAGGTCTGACACATGAGGCCCTTGGGGAGCTCTGGCCATCTCTGTTGTCCAAGCAAGGCAGGGCTCTGCAGAAAGGATTGCAAAAATGGGCAAGTCAAGTGGGTCATGCAGGCATCTCACCGGCACCCGTGCTGAAGGGAAAGGCTGAGCAAGGAGTAGAGGCAATTGCTGCCGTGGGAAGCAGCCATGTGGCTCATCCGTGGGGCAGTGCAGCCCCCTCCGGACTCTGGTTCCCTCGGCATGGGGACATTGTGACGGCAGAGCTGGCCACACTACACCTGCTGCTGCCCCGATGAGTAGTAGAGGGTGAGGTCTCCTGGGAGAGCCACTTGCTCCTGGGAGCTGAGCAGGATACCCTCATGAAGAGAGGCTAGCTGGAAACTCACACCCACCAAAACCCCTCTCCCAGCCCGGCTGAACCCCTCTGCCTCCTCCGGGGCCACGCAGGCTCCCCCCAAGCAGGAGCGGGACCCCCAGCTCCCACTGCTCACCCACACGCCAGGCTCAGAGGGCTGTGGGGACACATCCAGCGTGGGGCCAGCGGTGATTTCACAAATATCTGCGGGGCTGATGCCTCTAGATGGCAGGAGAGTGGCACGGATCGCACGGAGCATCCTTGCTCTTCTGCCTAAAGAGTCGGTCAGCAGAGCCAGCCCTACTTTCCCAGCTGATGGAAAGGGAAAAAAACCAACATGGGGCAGGGCTGCAGGGCTAGGGAAGAAAAAAGAGCATTGTCTTACAGTTAAAGTGGGAATTTGTCACACTGCTGAATTCCAGGGTTCCCCACTGTTGAATGGGTTTCTCCATTTTTGAGAAAAATATGGGTTTGATAGTGCCAGGGGATTATGAGCAGCGCATTCCTGGCACTCATCTTGGTGCCAAGATCAGGCCAGGTGCTGCTTTCCAGCTGTGCTCCAGGGGAACACGGCTTTTTGCAACAGACTGTGCCTGGCTGATGAGACATGGTATCCCGAAGGTTGTCACCTCACTGCTGGGGTCCCTCAGGGACCAGACAGCACAGTAAATGTCCCTGCAAGAGAGCAGGGAATCTGCTCCAGCCCTGCTCCTATCAGTCCCTACAGGAAATCCAAGAGAGGATTTGAAGATGTTTCGCTTTTCAATATCTCCACAAAAGTTTTGTCCACAGGGATGAAAGCATCCCAAAAGAGGCTTGAGACTCTCGCTTTGCTTCAGGCAAGGCTATGATACCCTGTCCTCCAAACCTGGAAGGGAAGATGGGGGAGCTCTGTCGCCAGAAAAGGCACCGATTTTGGAAAGGAAATATTTCGGGGTGAAGAGTGAGATAACACAGTGCAACTCAGGATGTCTGGTGCCAAAGATCACCTCTCCGATGCCAGAGAGAAGCACAGCGGGTGAATATCAGCTGTGGAGGCTGAGACAGGAACCTTCTCTGGCACCGCTCACCCAACACTCCCCAAAGATGGCTCTGAGCCATGCCGTGAAGCAAGGCAGGGAAATACCGGATCAGACAGTCTCGGCAAGTCAGAGACACTAATTCCTGCATTCTCTTTGCTCGCAGCAAAGATTTCGTAGCAACTCCACTGAGCACACCTCTGTGTCCATGACCAAAAAGAGCCTTAAAAATGGAAATTAACATAACCAGATGCATGGACCACTTTATTTTATAGAAATTAGGAACATCACACTGCTCATCTGCCCGCGCGGGCTGGCGGGGAGTTGGGCCATCCTTTATTTCCCCAGGTTCAGCATCAAGAGGAAGCCCTTCGCTGCCTCCGTCCTGAACCTGGCCATCCTCGGGAGGAGCCGAGCAGCTCCCCTGCACATCTACTGCAATGACTAACCCTACACTCTGAAATCCTGACTGTACTGATCTTTTTCTAGTTACCTAGCTCAGGTGTCATTTTGTTACTACTCCCAAATTCAATCTGGATTTCTTTTTTTTTATTCCAGAATTGATTCCGACCCCAAAGCCTGTGGAATAAACAGGAGCTGGGCTTCACTGCACAGCTTGTCGCTGGTGAACAGAGCCAGGCTGACCCGACTGCCAGAAAACGTCCCGTTTCCTCTCCTTCTCAAGCCTCTGGGTTGTGGATGAGGAGGACAGGTACCTCCAGAGCCTGACGCACCTCATCCTAAGGTAGGTGCCTCCAATAGTTGGGAAGACCAGAAGGAAAGGACCTTGCAGCATCCCAGCAGCTGGGAGACTGCAGGGAACAGCAAGGAGGAGGCACATGGCCTGACAGCAGAGATCATCGTGTTTGCAGGTGGCAGGGATGCCCGTGTTCCCCTGCCCATTTCCCTGCCTCGTAAGCAGCGGGAAGCTCTCCGTCCTTTCCCACTGCCCTAAATCCAAGGGTAACGAACGTGCCACTGCTTTTTGAAAGAGAAGTTAAAGTATAACCCGTGGGGGGTGAGTCATGCTTTGAAGACACATGATAAGATTAAACATCTAGGGAGCATTTATTAACAGACTTGTTTTATAGAGCAGAGCAAGAGTCTTCCATAGTTGAGAGAAGTTTGGTTTGGGGTTTTTTTTTTTCTCCCTCTCTCCCACTTTCCTATCCTTCAGAAAATAAAAACTTTCCGAGTTACAACCTGTTGTGCAGGAAAGAGCTCCCGTCATCCAGGGAGTGTGTCCCAAGGCAGAGGCAGAAGGACCACAACCCTCCTGTGTGCTTTTCCTGCTTCCTGGGATCTTCCTTGTCTGCGGTGTCACCCAGGCCACCACCTCTCTGAGCTTCTTGGTTTTACCAGCGAGTTTTACGGGTTTAGTTATCGCAGCTCTGTACCTGTACTGTGCCAAGTGATCGATTTTCATCCCAGCCCGGCCGGTGACAAGTAGCTCTGGGCTGAGGGACAAGCCAAAAGGCAGAGAAATTTGAAAGTACTTTGAAAGTTATTTGAAAATAATTTGAAGACAAATTGAAATTAATTTGAAAAATAATTTGAAAAATATTTTGAAATAATTTGAAAAATATTTGGAAGTAATGTGAAAAATATTTGAAAATAATTTGAAAATAAGTGGAAATTAATTTGAAAATAATTCTGAAAAAGTTGAAAATAATTTGAAAAGGATTTGAAAAAGGTTTGAAAATAATTTGAAAAGGATTTGAAAAAGGTTTGAAAATAATTTGAAAGTCATTTTAAAAAGGTTTGAGAATAATTTGAAAATAAATGAAAATTATTTGAAAATAAATGAAAATTACATTGAAAGTAGTTTGAAAATAATTTGAAAAAGGTTTGAAACCTTAAAGCCATGGGTCGTTGGTGGCTTTGTTCACATCAAATGAGAGCTGGTGTATTCCCCGGCTCCGTGACAGCAAGGGCTGACAGACACGGAGGGGACAGAGGAGTGGAGGAAGCGCTGCCACGACCCCTTCTACCCAGGGAGCTCTGGAGCCAGGCGACGAGGATTCAGCCCTCATGGCCACAATGGGGTCTCCTCCATAAAAACTCCACGGTTTTCCTCTCCCTGCATCCTTTCACCTGGAAAATACAGACTTTACAGAGCCTCCAGGCAGGGCTGAGCTTTTTGGGTTGTTGCATTTTAACCCTACCCCTCGTGTTTTTCTAGGTGAGGAACAGACACACCAGAAATGGATCCAGAGCTCAGGTCGTGGTTACGAAACGGCGTTTGTTCCGGCTAACCATCCAGAAAAGCGGGAGGAACCACGAGAGGCATTTCCAGTCAAAAACCCTTGCGTGCAAGCCACATGGTGGGCGGACAAAGCTGGGTTTGCAGCAGAAGTGGTGCATTTCGGGTGGGGAAAGCCTTCCAGGGACAATCCCAAACACATGCTGACGTGCCTGGTGACAACGCTTGAATGCGAATTCTCCACACGCAACTGGAGATGCACATGCAAGGGTTTGCCCAGGAATTGTTCTGCCCTGCTGTGCCAAGCTTGCTTATCCACCCGTGCTCTGCTCTTAAGCAGAAATATTAAAAAAAAAATTCACTGGCAAGAGCTAAGAGCCTCCACAGCTCTGTTTTAATAGAGAGGAGGGCAGAGCACAATTTGGGCTTAAAATTCAAATTATAATGTCAAAAAATCACATCGGATAGAAAGTTTAAATTGTTGATCAAGTGAAGTGAGGACAAGTGAACTTACCAGCAATGCGCAGCAATGTTTCATGGCTGAAAATAGAAAAAAAAACTTCTCAAATAGAAATATATCTGAGGATTTAGAGTAGAGCATCATGAGGAGTGGTTACAAAGGCTTCCATGAAGTCCATGTGCAATTGTTTACCTCAGTCAGTTTCCAAAACAGCCTTCCTCTTTTCCAGGGGGGGAAAAAAGAGTCGGAGATCAAGCAATGGGTAAGAACATAGGAGAGAATCTTCTTCTTGTAGTTTTGACCCCGTCTGGCAGCCAAACACCACTACAACTGCTCGCTCACCCTCCCCGTTCCCTCCTCCCAGGGATGGGGGGGGAGAATTAAAGGGGTAAGGGGAAAAG